TGTGTACTTTACAGTATTTTTAGTGTCGTTAATAAGATATAAATTCTTGTTAGTGTCGTTTCATTAATTGTTTAGCATTTTTGAGCTATTTTTTTAAATTAATACATTAAATTTTCAATAAGATTCACAATCATAAAATAAAAATATTGTAAGCCTGAAAAAATGACAAGATTCAATAAGAGTGAAGTTAATCTTAAAAGCACTGGTATGAAAAATATTTCTTTCATTGTACCATATTTTTCGATTTGATAGAAATATCGACTTTTTATATCATTTGAGAAAAGATAAAAGAAAATTCTTTGTTTAACCTGTAAATTTATATTGTATGTAGCATACAATCAAAATGGACAGAATTATTTCGAACAATTAACAGCGTATAATTCTATGAGCGTGCATTTGCGACGTATTTTATTGGCAAAATGTGCTGTTGATGCTAAAAACAAAACCTACATGCGTAGAAGAAAGCAAACGTGCAAACAAATAGATTGGAAACCACGATATGTAAAAGCGGAAATTAAAAATAATATAATTGATAAATTGGCGTATGATACTTCGTATCATCCAGCGGTAAATTATTCATATGCAACTCATTTAACTCAAAAAAATGTTACACGAAAAATTATATGTGAATTCAAATCATTCTTTTATGATTAATTAATAGGATTTTTTAAGAATGAACTGTGACTCAAAATATTACTGTCAACATGAAGCTCAAAAGTACTTCATTGATCCCTCGTATGATTATGATGAGATCTCTTTACGATCAAGACTACACGTAGCTTGTCCAAGTTCATCAACCTTTAAAACAAATTGTTCAGAACCAGTTATATCAAATAATAAAAATAAAAGACAACAATCGCGGTTTAATACTAACGGCAAGAAAGTTTTTAATCCCGTAGGCGTGGAAACTGCAGTAAAAATTCAAGATAGGTGAGACGAAATTTTGTAATAAATACATTTGCTTCGTTATTTAAATTAATTCAAATTATAGATATTTATTACTTATTGGTAAGTTATTTATCTTAAATAATATATCTTAAATAATATATGCAGAGTTGAAAAAAATTCGATGTATTACGAATCTACTTGTGATTATTTATCACAAAACATTAATCATCTTTCATCGGAGATTAATACATCGAGAAATTACGGAGATTACGAAACTCCTCAAATATATACTAACTTGATCGATAGTCACAAAACATGTATAGAAGATGAAGAAACAAAGTATGCAAAATTTATGTACGATATTACACACGAAATAATACTCAATGGTTTGTACACTGATGAAGAACTACAAGAAGTATTTAACAAACACATTGAAGAAAACAAGACAGTTCTAGATACGGTCAGAATAATATCACTTATTCTCACTTAAATTTACAAAATAATATTAAGTATATAAAATAACATATTTTGTGTTTGTACATAGAATCGAATGCTATATGAGATTTATCAGTTAAAATTCGCTTTGAATATATCGGATACTTCAGAGGAAGAAAAATTAGAGGATCTTATATGTGCTCAGCAATTATTACATATTTCTGAAATACGACCACCGACGCCACCAAAAATTCTAAATGAAAATAGAGTTCTTGAAAAATTAACGTGGTATCAGAATCTAGATGAAATAAGGCATGATTCATTAAGTCGTAGAAAATCGGTTTTGATTGATGCTAATCCTGAGTTACATATAACTGAGAAAGATGTGCTAACATCATTGATAGAAGCTGATATCAATCCCGAGGAAGCTCGAAAAATTTATAAAAGACTTTCTTCTAAAAGCAAATCATTGGTTTGTTAAGTAAATTATATTATATTACAAAAATATATTATTAAATATAATAAATATATTATTAAATATTACAAAAATATATTATTTATTTTAGTTCAAAAAAAACGAAGAATATGAAGTGGAAAAAAACATTCAGTTTAATAACAGTTTAACAGGATCGTATAATGTAAACAAAGTAGATGAATTAAAAAGAAATTCAATGATCAATGATTTTATAACACAAGAGGGTAAAGATGTACAAATATAAAAAATAATTGTATAATACTAAACTATGAAAATATTTTCGAAAAAAAAATTCGAAAAATATATTTAATCTATAATTATAATGTTATTATAATAATTATAATGTTCATTTTACAACCAAGAAAGATATTTTAATATTATTATTCTTTCTTTTATTAGTATTACAATAAGTATTACACATCATTGTTTTCATCCTTATTAATTCTTTTACATTGTCATTTTTTTTATTTTATTTCAACATAAAATATAAAATATATAACGAAAAAAAAAATATTAATGTACATATGTATAACAATACATGTGAGATTTATTGACATGTCATAATTGAACAAACATATGTTTATTCATTTTTACAATGATAATGATAAAGATCATTATATTTAATGCACACATTCTGTATTATACAGTAGCTATAAAATTAATTAAATAAAACAATAAAACAATTATTTGTCACTATTCATATAAAATTTTTTCTTAATTCTAATAGAAGCATACAAAATGTATAATTTGTACACAGTATATAAAAGTATTTTGTGCATAAATTTGTATACTTTGTACTTTATTCTCATTTATATATTAAATTTATATAGTAACAATTGACAATTTAAGATTTAAGATTTACAATTTATTATTTAAGATTTAACTGTAAAAACCAGAAGCATTATAAGATTCATTATAAAATTAGGTAATATGTGAAAAAAACTAAATAATCTCTTATTAAGGTTTTTCTATTAAAAATATAATTATTATATTATGTAAATAATGTAAAATTCGTTCTCAGTTTAAAACCTTAAAAAGAGATAACAAATATATTTAAATATAGTTCAATAATAATTTTAAATACTTTTTTTCTATTTGATATCAAGATAAAATATAGAAATGACTTAATAAATTACCTTCACAACATGTAATATTCATTACATACCATCGTAATTATAATAATAATAATTACTTAATTATGAGAAAGTAATTAGTAAATTTTAAAAAAATTTTCTGCATGAGTTATATTTTTAAAAAACCTAAAAAAATAACTTCTTCTTTTATCAACTGCCATCAGATGCATTTGAGGAAGAATCTTCAAATTCTGATACATCAAGACCTCCATTTAAAGTACTTAAAAGATCTGTGACGTGTTTTATAATAAAATTTGGTTGTGGATCTCTTTTTAATAATGATGGTTTATCCAATGTTGGAACCCAAATTGTACATCCTAGATTTGCTTCTATTCCACCTAGACATAATAATTTTGTCAACAATCATTATTAATATCACTACATTATTTTCTTTATAATTTATTGTCAAAAAATACAATATTTTCAAATTAAATTAACATTTGAATACTTTTAAATAATTTGCAACTAATTTATGTGTATGATAAACAAAATATACAATATACAATACCTAGGATATCAGTTTCCAGTTTGTCACCAATCATTACACAGTTGTCTGGTTTAACATTTAAAACTCTACATGCTTTTCGAAATATTTCTCTTTCAGGTTTTTCCCATGGTAAATCCCCTGATACAAGTATTACATCGAAATATTGTTCTAGAGAAAGTTTTTGTATTTTCTCCCATTGTGCATTTGAAGGGCCATTTGTAATCAAACCTAAGAGGTATTTTACCCTCAATTGACGGAGCATACAAACTACATCTGATGCCAGAGTCAAATAATAATATCGTAGATATAACCATCGTTCATAAATTTTTCTTGCTAAATATGAGTATTTTTCTCCTAGTGCTTTACTCCATAAAGTTATGCGCCATGTATCCAAAGTGTGAATTATATTATCAGGACATTTTCTAAAGAGCTTCAAATATGTTGTTGTAATCTTCACAGATACATCTCCAGGAATTCCATATCCTTGCGTTAGTTCCTCAGCCAACTGCAGATAAAGTTAGAATATTACCTATTAGACAGTTTTTTTTTACTTTATAATAGATAAATCAAGCAATATTATAAAATAATGAACAAAATATAAAATACACACTAAAGGAAAATGAATGACTTCCACATTCAACACAATTTGTAGCACAGCGTTTCAATAATTGGGGAAAATGATAAATGATAAATAGAATCTATGACAAGGAGTAATTAACACTTTGAAAGGAACCGTTTATTGAATGTGGACTATGATGACTGAACGAAACTCTTGAGGAAAAAGGACATAAATGATCAGTTAGGAATTTAGGTCACTTAATTCAGTTTTTGATGATTACCTAGAAAATGCATTGATTCATTGAAATACTCGAGCCGATTAGTGGACACTCGAAGTGGCACCCGGTCGTTGCTGTAATCACAACAAAATGAGTTGTGCCAACAACAAATCTATATTATTCCAACCCTAAAAGCTTTACTTAAATGGTTGTTGGATGTTAACATTTATACTTATTACTGCAGATTGTATGCCATATATTAAATGCAACGTAAGAAATAATTTTTATGTAATTTATTTAAATTTTCTAACGCTAAGATAGGTAATAATTTAAAAGAAAATACTTTTAAAAACAATTTCTTTTAATAAAAAAACCATTTATTATTTTACAAGAATATTCATTATACACAAACACTTTTTTAAATATATACATTCACAAACTGTATTGGTGTATTAATTTTAAGTATTATCAAACTTATATAAATTTTCTAACATTATATGAGTTAATATAAAATGTAAAAATAGTTTCTCCTTTAACATATATTTCAAAATTTAAGTTTATAAATCTGTTTAACTTATAGAAATATCTGATAACTCTTTTGCATGCCAGAGATCTATTTTCAGATATGATTTCTACCCTATATTTATATGA